TTCAACCAAATTTGGCACAAAGCATCTATGGGTAAAAGGGAACAAAAATTGTGAATTTCATGATCCCTGCCCCCCTGGGGCCTGAGGGGTGGGGCCAAAACCACTAAAATTAATGCAATCTTTGAAAATCTTCTTCTTTACTCCTGGACATCAAGCAGTCAAACTGTTTGCATGACTGTAATCAGCATTGAGTCCTCTACCAAAATTGTGAAATTCATGGCCCTGGGGTCAGGGGTTCTAGTGCTAGGGCAGGGCTAAATAAGTAGGTAGTGATAATGCATTATTTCTTTGAAAATCTTCTTCTCTGCTCCTGGGTATTAAATAAACCAACTAAGTAGTTAGTTATGATGAGCAAGAGTGCTTCTACCAAAATTGTGAATTTTATGGTCTCAGGGGTTCTGGTGTTAGGGCGGGGCTCTATTGATTATATACAGTGAAAATACATGATTTCTTTGAAAATCTTCTTCTCTGCTCCTAGGTATTAAATAAACTAACGAAGTGCATAGTTAAGATGAGCAAGAGTGCTTTTACCAAAATTGTGAATTTTATGGCCCCAGGGTCAGGGGTTTTGGTAGGGGGGGCTTTATAGATTATATAGTAAAAATACATGAATTCTTTGAAAATCTTCTTCTCTGCTCCTAGATATTAAATAAATTAACTAAGTGCATAGTTATGATGAGCATGAGTGCCTCTACCAAAATTGTGAATTTTATGGCCCCAGGGCCAAGAGTTCTGGTGTTAGGGGGGGGGGGGGGCACTATTTATTATATAGTGAAAATACACAAATTCTTTGAAAATCTCCTTCTATGCTCCTAGGTATTAAATAAACTAACTAAGTGCATAGTTATGATGAGCAAGAGTGCCTCTACCAAAATTGTGAATAATTTTATGGTCCCTGGGTCAAGGCTTCTGGTGGGGGGGGGGGGGGGCTCTATAGATTATATTGTAAAAATACATGAATTCTTTGAAAATCTTTTCTCTGCTCCTAGGTATTAAATAAACTAATGAAGTGCATAGTTAAGATGAGCAAGAGTGCTTTTACCAAAATTGTGAATAATTTTATGGTCCCTGGGTCAAGGCTTCTGGTGGGGGGGGGGGGGGCTCTATAGATTATATTGTAAAAATACATGAATTCTTTGAAAATCTTCTTCTCTGCTCCTAGGTATTAAATAAACTAACGAAGTGCATAGTTTAGATGAGCAAGAGTGCTTTTACCAAAATTGTGAATAATTTTATGGTCCCTGGGTCAAGGCTTCTGGTGTGTGGGGGGGGGGGCTCTATAGATTATATTGTAAAAATACATGAATTCTTTGAAAATCTTCTTCTCTGCTCCTAGGTATTAAATAAACTAACTAAGTACATAGTTATGATGAGCAAGAGTGCCTCTACCAAACTGTGAATTTTATGGTCCCCGGGTCAGGGGGTCTGGGGTGTGGGGGGGGCCTCTATTGATTATATAGTGAATATACATTAAATCTTTAAAAATTTTCTTCTCTGTCTCTGGGTATGAAGCAGATGAACTACCTAAATAGTTATGATGAGCAAGGGCCCTAATCTTGCAAAATTTTGAATTTCAAGGCCCCAGGGTCAGGGGTGGGGGTGGGGCTCTACTTATATACTGAAAATGAATTAATTGTTTGAAATCTGCTCCTTTGTATTTATAAAACATCTATTTATTTTTTGATAGGCAATTTTAACGGTGCCTTTTTAAAATTTGTGCAATGTGTGGACCTAGGGTCAGGGATTTATTTCACAGTGTTTGGGGCATTACTGATTATTGCTGAAAATAACTGATTAGTTGGAATGCATTTTTTTCCCCTACCTTGCGTATGGGTATTCAGTACCCCTGCAAGGTGATCATGAATAATTCATGAATTACCTTGAATTTTTCATGAATTTTATTCATGAAATGTTCATGAAACGTTCATGAAGATCCTATGAACTTATTATTGGGCATATTTAAATCAATAAACCAAGCTTAGCAACTGCTAAGTGTATTGTTATGATGATCAATGGTGCCTCTTTCAAAAATTGTGAATGCTATATAGCATCTGGCTTAAAACAGAAATCAAATTCAATAACTGGAAAGTTGTTGCAGAATGCTCAGGTGACCTATAAGGCCCTTGGGCCTCTTGTTTAAGAAACATTTAACAGTAAAAAGCTTAATACTCAAAGGTCATCCTATATTTTGAAAAATGAATGTAAACGACAGCGTATAGGAATATCTAAACAATTATTTTTAAAAATTAAAAGTCAACGTTTGTCTGTAATTCAAACAGATGATGAAACTTTAATCCATTGTTTTAAACCCTCAAAACAAATTTATAATAAGATACACTTGACAAAACTGCAAAGGCCTTAGAAGAGCAAAGAATTGCAAGAGCGCAAAAACAGTTTTATATGATATTTTCGTAAATATTAGTGGTCTTGTTGTTCAAATTTTTATTCGAAGAAGCAGTTTAATTTCTGGAGGAGTCTAGAAAGCAAAATTTTACAAAAAATCGAAAGGTTTATGAGAGGAAGGAACCAGAATCAGGAATCCAATACATCAAATTTCTTCATGACAGCGCCCAAACCAACAGGCCATGAAGAGTAAAGGAGTTTTGGGGATAAACAAAGTTAATGTTTTGTCACACCAACAATATTAGCCAGATCTTTCAACCTTTGACTTGTTTAATTTCCCAAACTTGAAAGAAAAATCTTTCAGAAAACAAAAAGTACAGGAAATCATATGATCTGCCATATCCCAGAATACGAAGGGCCATAATCAAAAATGTGTTCTAAAACAATTAAAAATGGAATAAAAATGTTACGGACATGCGTTTTAATTTAAAGAGAATATTTTAGTTTATTTCAGAAAAATTGAACATTTATAAACTTTTGCTGTTCATATTTTCTACAAAAGAACTTTTTATACGCTTTGATTGAAGCAAAATTGAATTATTGTCGTCCTGTACAATAATAATTTCATATAATAAGAAACCGTAGAAGAACTATAAGGTCTTCCGTGAAGACGGGAGACCTTAATAATTCTGTATATTCACTTGTACAGAAATATTTCTTCTGAAACATTTTTTAACTTTATTTTGGTTTTATTGATCGTAAGGGTTTAGATTACATACAGATTAATCATAATAACACATTTACCCAGCAAAATAAAATTCTCAAAAATACAGCTCATATTGCTTTAATCATTGAAAAGCGTTTTTTTTCTTTCCGAGCTTCGACGACATTATTTATTGAACGTACAGTCCTCGTAATCAAATACAGTAAAAAAAATTAACAACTGGTATTAAACACAGCTAAAATACGCCCCATTGATAGGCTATGTTCTCTAAAAGGTCATTATAAAGACCATGGAATTTATGAAATGCTGTCTTGAAAAGACTTTGTTGAAATAATTGTAACAGCAAATTATCTAATATGGTTTGAAAATTTTATCGTACTCGGAGCATGCCCTTGAGTATTGAATAAGTTATAGGGGATTTAAATACTATATGCGGGCGATAACAGAATATTATTGTAAACTCAAGTTCTATAAGATATTTCGAATCGATATTTCAATGAAAGTAATTATTGATAATCAGCAATGCATCGTCGGTATATATGTAGTTTTTAAAAATTGTCAAGATGAGGGCCAGAGCAAGTTTTTTCTTCTTCTCGTGTAGAGGTTTTTGAATAAATTCTGCTTTATAGGAATATAAAAACAGATATTAAAAGAGGATAGTTAGTGACCATCGGAATTCCAATAGTTTGTTGGAAAACTGGTCTCCAGAGCATGCATAAATGTTGTCACTTAGAAACTTTAGCATCCTTTAAATTATCACTCTTGAATAATCAGAGTGATTTTTAACAAAGTCATTTTGTTGATGAAAAAAAAAAACGCATTTTTTCAGCTCTATGAACAGTTCTACCAATATATGATTGGATATTATAGATCAGAGGTTGTTTTCTAAACAAAATATATAAAAACCAGATTGGCCATTTTATAAGTTTTTAGCGTATAGATATTGACGGAAATCATGACGTCGTAACTGTTTCAATGGTATAAAAATGTAATAATGTTAATATCAAGGGGTGTGTTCAATTTTATTCATTTACTGAAAGCACTGATATACACCTGTTTTCTTTAAAATTGAAGTTCATTGCGATTTTACAAAGTCTGCCAAAACAATGACTTTCGGAGAGGACTAATTCTGCATTTAAAAGATATTTTGAAATTTATTGGATACATAGTGGTACAGAGGCGTAGTCACAAACCTAAAAGTGGGGGGGGGGGGGCTCAACTCCAGAAATTCTTTGACAAGCAAAAAAAAAAAAAACAAAAAAAAAAACAAAAAACAAAAAAACCCAAGATTGAAAGTTACCCAAACTCGAAAATCCTATTTCGTGGGGTGGGTGGGTGGGTGGGTGGGGGGGGGGGGGGGGGGGTTAGTGACCAACTTTTTCAAAGGCAAGTTACTTTCAATTCCAATTTTTTTCCACAACGCTTCGATATCAAAATACAAGGGTCAAAAAGTGGGGGGGGGGGGGGACTATCCCTTCAATGAACATTTCCTACAGTAAAGGTTATGTTGGGGAAAAAAGTGGGGGGGGGGGCAGGTCTTGACGATTTAATTACTATATTACATTACTATATTATACAACTATTACTTCAAGAGAAATGCTTACTCAGTTGTTGAACTTTAAAAAAATGCCATAAAACCAGGTTTAATATTATTTCAAAATAGCTGTGATTTTGTTCTTCATTAAAAAGTGGGGGGGGGGGGGCACAGACATACTCTTGCCCCCCCCCCCCCCCATCTGAAAGTGGTGGGGGCTAGTGCCCCCGCTGCCCCCCCCCCTGTGACTACGCCTATGTGGTACATGTAGTCAATAAATTGACACATCTAAATAGATATAGAGCCATTTAATTATAGCTGATTAAATCATGCATTAAAAGGACGGAGATTTAAATGTATATATATTTATCGATAACACATATTGGATTTTTAGAACTTTCGTTTTTGCATTGGTTAATTCAGCATTGAGAATAGTTTGTCTTAAGGACAGGCCAAATAACTAAATGGACGTACCTTTTAAATGTAAGTAGTAAAACAATATTTTATTTACATAAAGGGGATTTTTTATGTAGTAAAGCAATTCAGTGGCCTTTCAAAACATTTACAAAAGGGTCGGACTAAATGAATGTACAATCTTTGTCACATGACTCTCATGTGTGAATTGGTGCCTAAACACTGATAAAACTAAACTTCATCCACTTGAATGAGGGGCACTCGGAGGGCCCATGACCCTCCCTCCCCATAAAAGGACAAGATAGACTAAGACCCCTTTTTGGCCCCTGGTTGTTTTTTTTTATTCATGCAATAGTTTTCATCAATTTAAGATCTTAATCAGAACTATCACAAAACCATCTGTGGTCTGATTTTTACATCAAATAGGGGGCAAGATTCAGCGAAAACCATACCTTATCCTATCCCAATAGTAGGTTATGTATTTGTCATGATTAACCAAATATTGCATGCAGTCTTTATGTTCTCCCATAAACCTTTACCTATGAAATATCTCCTTTTTTCAGTGTTTCAAGTGCAAACATGTCAATACATACCGATGGCATGCTTGTATGTCTAATATGGATCTTTTTATCATTGGTAGACACAAAACAGTTTTATAATAAAGGTATGTATGTAATCATTGTCTTTGACGCACTATGCCCTACATTTACATTTTTATCAGTTACATATTGTGTATCATAAGGTTTTCATAAGCAGTATTTATTTAGATTATTTTATAGATTATAGAAATTTATAAAGCAATAAATGCTGAATTGATGTAAGAACCATTAGGCGGTGTATGTTCTTTTGAATATTTTATGAATAAAGTGCAATTCATTGACCTATATCAAATCCTTTTGGTGCTTCACGAATCTTATTGCAAGAGAGTTGGATACATTTCAAATACAGTTTGAATATCTTATTTAGCAATGCAAGTGTACATCATTGGTTCAGTATAAAGGACCATACACTACATCCTTATTATACCCCCCGCTTAAATAGCGGGAGGGTATATAGTAATCGGTATGTCCGTCCGTCCGTCTGTACGTCCAGCTGTCCGTTCGTCCGTCTGTCTGTTATGCTGTAGGGTACCCATCTCTTATTGCAACTCCTTTTATACCACTGAGTGAAATTTAATGAAACTTTCACAGAATCTTTATTACAATTGCTATTGTGACTTCCTATTTTACTTTTTGATCCGACATATATTTGGGGTTTCCCAGCCACAGCAAAACATGGACTTTGTCATTATAACCATATAGGAGGCGGGGGTATCATTTAGTCAGTTCATTGCTCACAATACCTCCAGTTTCTGGCCAGAAGAGCTATAAATAAATGATACTATATTCAACCATTATTCATTAATGTAGTTATGTTATACTATAACCGCAGTATAAGGGTCTATATAGCGTGATTCTGCTATCTGAGGGGGGGGGGGGTCAAAATTTACTGTGCCGGAACGATGAGATATATGACTATTATGTCGTGAAGGTAATTTGAGTGTTGCTGTATTATCGTTATAACCAAATATTTCCCAACATTGCTTTGTCAACTAATACAAACAATCTAGGAAATGTCATTTCAGCATTGATCAACAAGCTCCAGAAAAAAGGAAATTCTCCAAATTCTAATTTAACAGAGCTGTATCAGAAAATAATAGTGAGACAGCCTTATGATGGACATTTTCATTTCACATATATATGTAAATATAAGAACTAGTACCATTTTGGAAGTCCTCGATCATCATTTGACCTGGGTGGTCACGTGAATGCTAGTCTTTTCAATAATTTTTGCTCAGTTATAATCAGAGAGCTAGGAATTGTTCGATAATTATCACACTCATAGTAGTATGTATAAGTATGAATGATTGAAGAAAATATATGTATGCTGTGTTGGAAGTAACTGGACGTAACTGTTATCATATGTTGTAGACAGTCCTTGTAACATTGTGCAATACCGCGAGGAAGTCCGAATTCCAAAAGGTAAAAAATTATATTATTATAAAATTCAATAATTGAAGATCTATCTAAAACAATTTACTTTTTAATGGGCATGTCCACATAAATGAATAGCTGCAGAACTGCAGCGTTATGGTTTTTTTTATATAAGTCGTTGACCATAACCGTTATGGTCAAAGACAGTCATATAAAACCATAACGCAACACTTCTGCAGCTAATAAATGAGTTGCATGTTGGCTTGTTTATAACGCATATCAGCATAAGTTGCATGTCAATACACACATGTACATAGTTGATTCATAGACCTAAATTTCTATTATGATGTTTGTGGCATATCTCTGCCTCACTCCTCCATGGTACCTGATCCCACCTCTGATGTTTCGGAAGTCCGTGTTTGCCCTGCTCCTAGTTTTGTATTGTTTTATGGACCTTTGATCTTGAATACTGTTCATTATCTCCATATGTTTCATGTAAGATAAATCATATTAACATGCTTGGAAAGCATGTCAACATATAATTTTGTCTACATGAAAAATATTTATGTCGACATGTAAAGTACCTACAGTGGACCCTCAGATATCCGGACGCCAGATATCCGGATGCTTCAGTATCCGGACGACTTTTCTTCGGAACAGAATTTTTTATTGTTATTTGTTCTTGTTTAACTGGTAATAAAGATATCCGGACGCTTCACATATCCAAACAAATTTGCTAGGATAAATGAGGCTCCCTGGACTGTATATCTTTATATAATATGTTGTTAAACTTTTGTCATGTTTCCTTACGCCAGTATCTGACCACATGAATGTGAAAAAAAAAATAATAATAATCTGGAAAAAAAAATTCCCACTCTCAACTAAACCCCCCCCCCCCCCACTTTTTAGCTGAGTGTGGGAATTTTTTTTCCGGATTTTTTTTTTTTTTTTTTTATTGACGATAAAAACTTCAGACTCCTGTGATCTGATGCATTCGTTCAAGATGCAGCATAATGATGTTTACATACTACTTATATATATGTCATCGTGCGAGATACTATGAATACAGGTGACTCATTTAAGTCAACATTCAAATTATTTTGTGTAGACTTACAACTTATTTATGTCATCATGCGAGATTATCAGATATTTATGTTGACTTGCAAGTTAAAATTGTTAACACGATTTACGTACTGTAGCTTCATCAATTTTCGTGGATTTTGTAAAACAGACGTTTTCGAGGATACGTAATTTCGTGGACAAAAGTATTGCCAATACAAATAGATAACATACTTCTAAATTCGATTTACATTTAAATTCGTGGATTTGCTCAACTACGAAATCCTCGAAAATTGGTGCTCAACGAATTAATGAAAGCACAGTATGCTGTATGCTGGCCAAGGATGGGTTAATTACTTAAAAAGTAATTAATTAAAAATACTTTGACCTTTTCTTCAATAAAGGGGTCACCTGCCCAGGGTTTCCATTGCGCATTTACATCGCACATCATAGGAAAGTGAAGCGTATTTGCTTTTTTAAAGCAATTAAGTAACCAAAGTAAGCATGCTAAGTGTAAATTATGATAAGCAAAGCATCCTCTTTCAAATTGTGAATTTCATGGCTTCTGGCTTATAACACGAACCAAATTCAATTGTTGGAAAATTGTTACATAATACTCATGTGACCTTTAAGGTTCGTGAGCCTCTTGTTTTAAAATATTCATAAAGACATGCATTTCATCTGATAGGATTGCAGCATGTTACCAAATTGTGGTGTATCACGCTACATGTTCGTTATATATATAAGGATATAATAAGAGAAAAGCAATAAAACTAAAAGCATATTTAAAACAGCTTTAAATTAAAATCTTTTCCTATTTATAAACAGTTCCAGAGTTCCTATCAAACCGAACACACACATATTTGTGCAGAGGACGTGACAATGCAGGTACGATCTCAATAAAAATGTAAAAGGAAAGGGATCCAAGCATCGAGGTACGTGCAATTATCACTAAAATTCCCAGATACTTTCTGCTTACAATGACACATAAAGTTTAGGTAAGATAATAAGAGGAATTTTATTTACTATAATTTAACATTGCAAATGAATTCAGAGAATGGGTGTCCGTCGCTTAAAGAAAAAGAAGAGCATGCGCGGATCTAATTTAAGAGCTGGAATGAAGGTCCGTGGGAATTAATCGAATAAAATCATCGCAAAACTTAAATCCTGAGATATTGAGAAGTGGAAGTTAAAATGCACAGCGAGAGAATGTATTCATGAATTGACTACCTTGACGTTTTCTTTACAAAAGCTCAATGTCTTCTCGTGATATCGCGCGGAAACGAGTGCAGACGGACGGACGGATTGCAACAGGCGCGTATCATCGTTTTTGGAAGTGGGGGGGCCAACCTGAGAAAAAGTTTTTTTACTTACCTGAAAAAGTTGACAAGCAAAAAAAAAAAAAAAAAAAAAAAAAAAACCCAAAAATAAAAAATTCCCAAAAACGAAAAAAAAAATTAGGGGGGTGGGGTGGGGGGGGGGGTAGTGGCTAACTTTTTTCAAGACCAACTATCTTTCAATTCAAACTTTTTGGGGTTAATTTTCCTATAACACTACCCTTTCCTGAAATGTGGGGGGGCCAACCTTCCTTTCAGTAAACATTTTCTATAGTAAAGGTAATGTCGGGAGAAAAAGTGGGGGGGGCCTGGCCCCCCCTGGCCCCCCCCTGATACTACGCCCCTGTGCAATTATATATATATTATAAATTTTAAATTCAGAGAAGATCGAGGGAGAGGACAAAAAGGAATCTAATGCATTTGCACTAAGCATATATATATAGAATAAATGTTTCTTTAACTGAAATTTTTAAACTGAAAAAAAAAGTTTTATTTCATTTAAAGGGCTTATTGAAAAGATAAAGTTTACATTGTAAACGTGCACGTCACGAATCATATACTTGTGTGTTCCGGATAAAATAATTTTTTTTCATAATATTTCCATATAAAATGCTATAGAAACATATATAAATCATGATATTATACCGAATTAACATCAAATCTGTTTCCAAGCACCTTAAAA